AAGCTGTTGAAATTTGTTTCCTTTCTAAGTACTCGAACGACCTATAAATAGTCATCTCACAATATCATTTATGTACAGCAAGAATAGCAGTGGACCCAATACTGACCCTTGAGGGACTCCAGAAATTACATTTAAAGTACTTGATGTCACTTTATTATATAATACTTTCTTCGATGCGCATTTCAACGACTAGATTGGTAGATCAAGATATAGATTTCACCAACTAGATTGGTAAAACACGCGTCGATAAGAGTATTGCAGTTCTGATGATTGGGAGCAGTACTTGTTTTGGATTCATTCTACGTCAGATGTTCCAGTTGTACCTTTTATCAATTGATTATTATTATAAAATTCAAGTTGGTCAACTATGTAAAATTGTTGGTGCCTAAGGTAAACCTGCGTAGACAGGACAAGAGAATATTCTTTATCGGCCTTTCTGATAACTCGCCAATCACCTGTATGCTAAATCATTGCAACATTTTAACTGAAAATAGCACCGTGGATCTTTTTACTAAAACAAATGCCAAAGAGATAAGGGCCTACTTTTTCTCACAACCGGATTAATTTCTAGGTATTGGGTAACTTAATTTATAGGTACTTGTATACATTTTAAAAATTGTGATAATTTATTTGATTTTTTTTGTTTCCTTTTATATTTACTGTTTTGTTTTATTTTAGTTAGTAGTTCTCAAGCTTATTTTGTTACTGTAGTTTTATCTCTCTTACTTTTAATTACAATTCAATATTGTGTTTGTAGGAGTAAAAAGTAAAAGTAAAAGTTATTTAACTCTGTTGCAAAATCCAAGTTATAGGATTTATGCGAAAAATATCAAAATTGACATGTTTCGAAAAGCATAATTACTTGTCGCTCACTCTCATCCATTTTTTTTCCGATCAAGCTATAGATGTGATGAAGTGTCACTGAAAACCAGTCAATCCCACGATAATGCATTTCAATCCTAGTGAATTTACTCGCTGAAAAAACTCAACCAAACAATCGGTTGAATAGTTGATCCACCTAAAATATTATCTCAAACTATACCGGTCTCAGTTCTTGTAATAAACTTTTCACACCTCTTCGTCGGTACCGGATTTTGATATTGGGTCAACAGAAAATTTTCTTGAACCATTCAATGTTGTTTACCGAGCCATATAATTCTTAAAATATGTTCGGCATTACAAATAATACACATAGTATTACAAGTACTAATATCCTATGTTTTCTTTTTGCACAGAAATTGTTTTCTGGAAGCTGGAAGGTAGAGACTGACGGGACTTTCAGTCGAACACGTTCAAAAAACCAACTTACTCTATTTCACAAATCGCCAAGCTTTCGTCTCTGAATAAAGACTTCGTTAGGACGCTAAAATGAAATACAATAGAAAATAACTTAAAAAATTTGACAATGCTTACAAATTCTCTGAGTTTTACAATTGAAAATAGAATATTGATGAAAATTTTTTACAAAATTGGCGCATTGATGTTAATAATGTCGTAATTTTCAGGTATCTGATTTTAGTAATGTCATATTCAAAGCTTGCTGTAATGACAAGAGTGACAGATGTGATTATTTCAAATTCATAGAGGAATGGTTTCTATGAATCAATCATATGGTTAGAAGAGTAACTTGGTATATTCTACAATAATCGGCAAAAAATCCATACATACAATTACTTTTCACATACTTTGTTTTTTCATCTGTGTGATCAAATTAGAGATTTCATAATTTTCACTATTAAAAGGGACAAGAAAGCAATGTACCAATCAAAAAGAATAAATTAAGAAAATTTGGCTACCTTGAAATCACTTCTTAGGCATAAATCGAAATTGTACTTCCAAGCTCACAATATTTTTATTCCATGCGGGTGGACATCATTAGCAACACAAAAAATTACAGGCATTAAAATTTAAATTATATGTGCGGTTGATGGACTTGAACCAGCTGCACGGTTATTGATTACAGTCTAGGAAAAATATACATAAAGATTGTAAGTTAGCGTTCTACAATTTTCATGCATAGTGACTAGCGTTTATATGAGAAAAAAGTGTGAATTCTTCGAACACAACATTGCTGTGGTACCAGTTCTAATTACTAAATTGTTGGGAATTTTTTCATCGATTTACTGAAAATAAATTTGAATATAAACTCATATTAGCATGCATTTCTTTTGATTAATTTCTGTCTGGAAGTTAAAATAGACTCATATTCATAGAGGATTACTATTTCTTGAGGAATCGTGACATATTCTCTTCAAAAATAACTAATTCAAAAAGTGAAATGTAAAATTGGACCTTTTTACCAACTGAATTAGCGTCTTCAGAAGATGATATATGCTTCAGTTCAGATTATATGTCAAATTTTCAATAGCAGAGTCATTTATACTTGATTTTGAAAAATAAATTTTTGAACAATTGGGGAATGTCGATTCAAGTTTCATAAAAAACTATTTTTTCTATAGATCAACACTATCAAAAACTCGAATACTGCATAATACTTAATTTGGGTAAAGTTTAGTTGTTATAATAGTTGTTATATAATCTTCATTAGTGAGAGGTAAACCTGAAATTTATAAATTAGTCAATCATGCCAACAACTTGACATTTCTGCAAGATGTGTAAATAACAGCTTATGGATAACTTTTTCAATTCATTAATTCTTTTCCTCATCAAAAAGTAAAGAGAAGGTTGATAATGGGGTTAAAATTGGTTTTTTCATCAACTATCAGTCGTTCTTTCTGAACTAGTACAACAACAAAATATTTTGTATGAATTTGAAACACTTTCATCAATAGCCGTCAATATTTAGATTTCAATTGCCACTTATTTTCACTTTTATTTATTCAATTACTTGAATATTAACTATATTTCTTGGATTGAGGACCTATTCATTTTTCAAGTAAATTTCAGTTACTTAAACTAATTAACGGAAAAACAGATTTTAATGGTCTAATAAACTGAAACCGCACGTAACAAATAGTAAACTAAGTAGAAATTGGACAAAAGTTATTTTCTTTATTTTATATAATTAAAGTTCAACGACACTCATACAACGATACAACTATGCCGATACTCGTTCAAACAACTGACAATCCTCTCAATCATAACCTAAAACAATTGATTGAATATTAATTTTACGTCCAAACAACATAATGAAAATCAAATAATACTTGGCCACATTGTTTTAAACCTTTTTCATAGGACGGGTTACTATTTAATTATAAACATATTACTGAATACCTTGAACTGCCAACTACTTTTCTAGATGAAAATGGCGTGGAGAATTCTGATTTTAAGTTATTTTTTGCCAAGACGAAACTTACGGACTATCAAAAAACCTAATTAATCAGTTGAAAAGTGTGAAATATGTTTACTCACGAATAGTTTACCTTTCCCAATTATGAATAGAATGCGGTTACGATAAAGAATAAGTTTGTTAAAATAGTCACCTATTATCCGACTCGAAAAAAATACTGAATCGGCGAAAGCGCTGGTAAGCCACTGGTTGACAACTAATCTAAAAGAAACTAGAATAAAGATAAACACGGTGACAAAAATGTAATATTTTGTTATGTAATACCGTAATGCCTAATATTCAATAACAATAATTCTGTATTTTTCTAAGGAGGCAGTTAACTAACAATAAAAATGCTAATAATAAATGACCTAGACGTAACTGTTTGCCATGAAAACCAATTCAATTCGTTTCCTAGTAATAATACCTACATCGTTTCTGTCTGGGTCGTTAGAAAAGGATGTTTTGTTCATTTTCAAATATGGATTGTTTTCCTTCAAAATATGGATTCAACTATGAATACTTCGATTCAGGAACACATATTTTCAGAAGATTGCAAAGTATTTTGAGAAATGGTTTTTCTATTTCGTCATTGATATCATTTAAATCGAGCAATCACTTTTAAGACGGTACTGTTCTTATTAATAGTATCATTTCGTTGAACACTGCGAAAATAAATTTTCTAGCGTTCACTCTGTTCAGAAACTTCAACATTATATTGGAAGTATCATTTTTATAATACCTTAGCATAGTTCTCATGGCCTCATTTTGCAATATTTATTCGATTCTCTATTCATTTAGTCATTAAGGATCAGATAGACAAGAGAATAATTTGCAGGTATATGTACGCCGTGAGATTTGGGAATCAGTATTGTACTTACCCAATATTTGACAGTGAATTTTTATACCAGAATGTGTCCATATTAATGTATATACTTTATATACTATATATACTCTCCTTGTGTGTCTTCGGATTGTTACTTACACGAAGACTTCGATTTCACTTCACCCAAGATGAATATATTTTACTTTATTTTTGTTTCAACCTCAGTATTGAATCTAACCTTCATTATACATCCTGTTATTGGGTTATTATAATAAATTCAAATCTGATAAGGTTCATCTATCACAAAATACATTTTTAACAGAAATTTGTGTATGTTTCTTTGTTTATCCCTATAACTTGAATATTTTTCCTTCATTATATTTGTGTTCAATTTAATTAGAGCATAAAAAAAGTTCAAAGATCATGGAAAAATTAATTTGTACTCACCTTGACCGTGAAAACTCATTTGCTTGTAATGAAATAGCGAAGCAAAAAATATCGAATTCATTCAAGAATACTCGTAAAGTATCGTAATCTCGAAAAATACAACAGCACTAACAAAATTCATTCTCAAATTCATTTTTTGTTTTTGGAACATTTTGAATTCATTTTTGTTGCGGCAATATTTGGCAGGCAAATAGTGAAATACTTTAATTATTTATTATTTATAATGATGTGTATGTAAAAATCTCTGAATATAGGTATTTGAAGTTGTGTTTCATATTATAATGAAGATGTTTCAGTGATAACAAAACTAGCCATTTTCTGATTTCATACACAAAAAGTGATATTGGTGATCATAAAGATCGCTTCATATATACCGCCACCAATCTAGCATATTGAAATGACAAAAAACGACGAAGTGATAAAAAACATAACGTGTAAATGGGATGTAAAATATTGAGGTCGAAACCAAAAAAAAACGTAAAATACAATCATTTCTGTTTAAAATCTGTTTTTCCGTTAATCAGCTGCCGCCCCCATACGAACGACAACTCTCAGAAGTTGAGAAACTTGTGCGAGCTAAGGACTAACGAGGTCTTACCTTTTAACGTGTGATTCCTAACACGGAGTTGGGAGTAAATGTTTGCAATTTTCTGTAGAAATTAAAAAATTGCCTCAAGGAATTCTAAGACATATCGAAGGTTGAATGGAAACTAGCCAAGTTCTGATTGTTGAAGATCACCCAATTTACATAATGCAAGCAGGTTATTACAATATTTGAAAGTTGTGATGAACACTAGAAGAGATGCATTATTCATTTCATGAATATATTCATTATCCTAGTTTGATGAAGACGTTTATGTAGCTACTTCATAAATAACATTATGAGAAAATAGATATTAAATTCGCCGAGCAACATTACGTCGTATTTGATGCTTTCTCCGAGTCAAGGTTTTGAAAATATGGAAAAACAAATATTCGTACCATGGTCTCAAGATTATAGTAAACTTGCCCAAAGGTAAACAAACATTTTCCCTGGTTCTCAGGTATTCACCCGTCTTGAAGTTCGCAAACATCCAAATTATATGTCCAAACAATGAAAAACATTCGTGGAACTGGACGAATATTGATAAACATTAGCGACTGATTTATGTAATTAGTTCTTTATTGATTATACTGTATCCAAGGTACCTATCTAGTGAGGACTTTCAACGAATGGGGATGTCAGATTTCTAAATACCTGAGAGGGAGGGAGGAAAGTTACTAATTATTTCATCTCTGTTGTCAAGTCAATCAATATAAATAAGAAAATTCAGTACCTAAATTCCCTTGGCAGATTCGGCCAATATTAAAATAAAATTTGAAATACTATATATTCATTTTCAATGGTTGAATAACGGAGTACGTTTCGACATTTTTGCCATCTTCAGGTTCTGAAATATTCATAAATTACAAACATAGAATGGTAATGGAGGAGCTTGAATTTCAGGTGATCTCCACTCTTCATTACACTCCTCACTTCTACAAACGATATGTCGACCATTGTATTTTGTGTATCCTTGTCAACAAATTAGAATACACTCAGCTTTCAACTTCTTCCATCTTCGCTTGTAATTCACAATTGAAGAAGAAAGTAATTGACTCCATAAATTTTCTGAATATTGCCCTGAAATACATTGACGCGAAGAAATAGAGGCTAATAGTGAACAAAAAAGAAAAACCTAAAATTTACTTCCATACCATACGTACGAGGTGCCGCGGAGGGTATCTCAAAAGGTTCAGGAAAACACGAAATCAAAGTAGCACATAAACCAAATGACATGAGTGCTTTCGAAAGTTTCAACCAATGAATAGCACAATGGATCAAGTTGGTGTTGTTTACAAGATTAAATGTGGGAACTGTGACGTCACATGACGAACAAAAAACTATCTGTTTGTCCA